ATACATATATAAGACTGAAGTATATAAATTAAATTAATGTCAAACGAATTAAAAATATAAGAATTATTTTGTATTTCATAAATATTAAAAAAAAACACATCCATAATATTCAACATTTACGTTTATCACTATGCTTTATTATTTCATATATATTTGTAATTAAAATACTATATTCATTCACAATCAAAATATCTGACTCTGAACGTCGGACTATCTTTAACCAAGGGAAAGTCAATTGTCAAGAATGCAGAGAATATACGCCGCTTCAGAGAACCACCAGACAATTCCGATGCTCAGATAGCACAAAAGCGTTTCCGGAACATTATGAAAGCTGCAGCTGTTCGAATGCCGGAAATAAGAACAAATTTCCTAGCGGAGACAACGGGATTAGCAAATGAGAGAGGTTACCCTGGGCGTACAAGCAATAATAATGCCAGTGGCTAGAACATCTGAAGCATTGCATCATCAGTACCGGATGGAGTAAATCGTGAGCAACTGTTTAGTTGCTCTCGAACCCTTACAAAATTATGATCGGACATATGTCGCATTTACCGGCGTTGTAACATATCCGATGAGGTGTGCGTTAAAGCGCTGCAAATTCGAAACGTTTCTCTAATTATGCAATGATTTTCTCTCCATATTATGCTTTGTTTGATAGCACGCATAACTGTACTTGACATTCAAACAATCGCTCGATGTCTCGTCATGTCGGTCTGACTCAAAACCGTTGTTGAATAGTGTGTCATACAAATGTGCTTTTTTCAAAAAATAGCAACAACATGATACAAATATCAATGAAAACGGGCATTCACATAATGAGGAGGGAAACCAACGCTACATTTTAGTAATAGAAAATTATTAATTATTGAGAAGAACTATAAAATTTAGCTCTCTGTCAGAACTGCAAGAATGTACAAGATATTATCAACAAAAGTTCGTAAAGTAGTAGATTCTTCCAGGTTCTGGAACAGAGCATTTGCGAACATATAACTCTAGTATAAATAAAAAAGTTAAAAAGCAGTAAGTTTGGCCGGGCCGAACTTTGAATACCCTCCACCATTTGCAGTGAATTTGGAAATTTCCAAAAAATAAAATCCCTAAAAAATTCTGTCAAAACTTTAAAAATCCGAAATATAGCCGTTATATTGGGGTCTATAAGACGTGGACCTACAGAGGCATTATTTGTTATAAGCTATTACCATATTCAAAATCGAAACTTGAAACAAACGGTGAATAATGTAGCTAAAATCTTCAAAATATCGTATATAGGGAGGTTCCGTTACATCGGAGCTGTGCGGAGACCTGGAACAGCATAGACAATTTTCTGTCACAGGCTATAACAACCATTACGAACTCCAAATACGACATCTCAAACAATTTCGGTGGGTATTGTACCTAAAATCGTCAAAATACCGAATATAGGGAGGTACTGATGTATGGGGCCTATACGAAGACCTGGACCTACATATACAATTTTCTGTCACAGACTGTATAATCCATTACGAACCCTAATTACGTAATTTGAAACTATTCTAAAATCATCAAAATACCGAATATAGGGAGGTACCGTTATATGGGGGCTATACGAAGACGTGAACCTTTACAGACAATTTTCTGTCATAGGGTGTAATATCCATTTCGAACCTCAAATGCCAAATTTGGAACAATTCCGGAGAAACATTTTGCTAAAATCATAAAAATACCGAATATCTGGAGTTACCGTTATTTGGGAGCTATATGAAAACGTGGACCTTCATGGCCCATTTACAAACTTAACTTGCCTACTGGCAAAATTAACATGTGTGCAAAAGAAAGCGTGTTTACAATAGACAGACGGACTTGAATAAATCGTCTTAGAATTTTACGGTGATCAAGAATACACCCAGGGAAAAAACAACTTAAATTCAAGAAAAACGATGTTAAATCAAGATGAAACGTTAATGAAAGTCTAGTAGCGTAGGAAATTCTTATTCCAACATTGAACCACGTTGAATAAAAAATGCAAAATTTTATATGGAAACAACTTAGAATTAACATTGTTCGGAGTAGAACTAATATTGAATCCACGTTGTTGATTTAAATTTGAATTCTTCTTGAATCAATATGAAAATGTTATTAATTTAAGGTAGTTCATTATATAATTAACATTGGAACAATGTTAAATTAAGAATGAAACAATTTTACAATAAGATTTTTCTACTTTGATTTTATATTGAATCGTTATGAAATTGCATATTCACACTAGGTGCAAAAAGTTACTTACCATATTTTAGATAAATGTAATAAACGAACACAATAAATGTAAATTTAATCCAGTATTAATATATTTATTTCAAAAAATTCTCACATATATTGATATAATTCTACATACATATGTACATAAATAGATACACTTAAGATACATATTTTTGTCTAACGTATGTTTTACCATTACAAAGTGGATATATATGAAGGGGTGAAGAATTCAAATCTGAAAATAATTGTATTTCTAAAGAATCAATTGAAGATCCAACTTCGTAAGCTTAGAAATGATGACAAAATTGGTTTACAGCAATAGGCTGGCACAAAACGTATGCAATACCCCTTTGATACAAAAACACATATAATTGAAATATAATACTGTGAATTTTAAAAGACAAGTAATAATTTATTTGGTATTTTGTACCCTTATAAGTAAGTTCATAGCAAAACTGAATTTTTGTCAGGTCGAGGCCCTCTGTTTTAGTTATTCTAGACAAATAGTGTTCCTTCGTAAGATCAGAAAATGTTAATGATTCTAAGCATAAGAAATGTTCTCCATTTTCATTATCTAGCAAAAATTTTGAGAATTTTATTCCCGATTTCATGGCCAAAGAATAAGTCGGATTTATTCTTGAATTTGTGTTTATTTTAATAAATATAAGCTTCTCTATGTTTTGCTTCCAATCGCATTGACCAAACATATTTCAAGGGACCAGCTTTTTTGATTGCAGAGGCATAATGAACAAGGAAATGATGTTTTGGTTTCAGTGCACCGTAGAGTTTTATGTAATTCGAATGGTGTGTATCAATTAAATGTTGAAGAAAAACAATGTCTTCTTCTGAATAAGATGGCCTTAAAATAAAGTCAATAATTTGCAATAAGTCTTTAAGTACTTCCCAATGACAATTTCCAAAAGGGATCAAATCTCCAATCATGAGCGGCAAGAAATTGACGAAACATTGTGTCTCACTTGCCGTCATTTTTAAATTAAATGATTTCAATCTTTCAATATCCAAAGCCAATGAACTATTGCCCATTTCAGTTTCACCGAATGGGAACAATTGCTTTCTACTGTTTACTTGGCATAACGTTATTACGTTATCATTAATAAGGCCCAACAATATGTTGCAGAGATCATAGGAACAAACTCCTTCAAAAACGTCATGCATAATATCAAAAGAATAGTTTTCGGTGACATGAAAATTGTTCAGTTCATTAAAAATGCAATTTGTTTTGATTCCAGTTTCATGGATAGTATCTTTGAGAAGATCTTCGTTATATGTACTTTTATCTCGCAAAAAAAAAAAAAAAAAAAAAACAGTCATACTGCCTCGTATCATTTTTCATTTCATCTTTTATTCTTTTGCAAACGCGGCAATATCTTTTAGCATTAAAAGACTGAACATATCCAAATATTCCGTTGACGGCTAAGTTGTCTCCTACTATTAGTCCTAGGATAAAACGTACTTTACGACTTGTATTATTAACAATAATATTTATACCTTTTTTAAGTACCTTTAAATCTTCTACGAGGTGATGAAATGCTCTGTCATTTCCACTAATCTTTAAATCATTGCTGCATATAAATGCTCCATGGAAAATAAAATTGATCTTCGACAACAAATATTGAGGGATAGTAGGAAAACTAAAATAACAACCACATATTGAATAAGTATGACTACCCAGCAGGTTATTAATTTGAAAATCGTCAAAATAAAGTATATACGGAATTATAATTTCTGAATCAATATGTTTAATTATTGATTTAAATATTTCGCCACATGCAAAATTTTGCAACAACGTTCCTTCAGAAAGCTGTTTAGTATTTTTCAAAGTTGATTCTAAGAGATTCGGTATTTCAAATATCCTCTTAAATTTAAAGCACAGCGGCATAATGATTATGTAATTAGAAGCCGAAGCTTTTTTTTTTTTTTTTTTGAGCTATAGATGTTTTTATAGTTATTGATTTGGGATCCTCATACAAATTTAGACCTTTAAGTATTTTAATAAGCCTGTGCTCAGACCTAATCTCATGGAATGGATTTTAACAAAATTGCAACAAGGTACTTATGTCATCTCGAGCTTCAAACAAATCATGATTATTTAAAACAGATTCTATGGAGAAAGATAACTCCGAAAGTAAAGAAACTATCATGTTTTGAACTTCAATTACACATTTTCTTGGCATAGAATTTTTGTCATAAAGGGTTAAATTTAACGCTTTATTTTTTAAACAGTTGATATTGTTCGGTATGAAATCTAGTCTTATTGGCCTTTCTGAGTTATTGATCTCTGATATCTGATCTGTAGACATTGGGAACGGTAAGTCTTGCTCTAAATTTGAAGTTGAAAGGTTATCATCGGATGAAGAAACTTTCAGGGAATATTGTGTATCTACTTTAACTGATTCTTTGTGTACTTTTTCTAGATGAATTCGAAAAGTTGTGAAATTAGAAAATATTTGATTGCATTTATTTTGTTTGCATTGTACTTTAATTAATTTCGAAATTAAATGGTATGTCTTCAAATGTTGGATTAAAGCACTTGTCTCTTTAAATTGTCGGTGGCACTTAAAACAAATATACATTTTAAATTATATGTTATGAATGAAATTAGTTAAAGATGCTTAACTTGTCGATTTCAGGTCAAAATCAGTATGGATATTATAGAAATATTGCTGGATGAAAATCCACGTTAAAGCAGATGCTAGAGGACACTTCATGAAATAATTTAAAGCAAGTATCTAAGCTTTCAAGAAATGTTGGAAACTTATACAACGTTTTGTCAAAGTATATATAAAACCCTTTTACCTCTCCATCAGAATGTCCTTCTAATAGCAAGAATGGCTGCACAGATAGTCCAGCAGAGTTGTATTTTGCTATAAGCTCTTCAATTGTGTTCTCGTAATCGTTGATGCATAATAAACGTACTGCGAAACTTTCCTGAGCATCTGCAATAGTAGGTTTTCTGCAACATTTGCCGGAACTATTTTTGGATCATGCTGGACAAGGCAATACTCCGTTTAGCAAAGATGCAATGATAAAATCAAGCATCTGAAATGATAAATGTATTTTTAAATGTGCTACATTTGCTGTTAATAATAATTACCCTTATTTTGCGTGAATTTAGCAATACCGAAAAGTTCCTTGCAATAGTCGTTGCGCAGTTCAGTTGCGTAAAATTTTTGTATTTTTTCCTTAAAATTGTCCCATTTAGAATACAGCATATGTTCTTTTTTTGGATATAGTTTGTTAAAATCTTGCTTAATGTAATAATAAAATACACGTTACCGCTGGGAATTGAATAACAAAAACTAACTTACCAAGTCTGGGCTTCTGGCATCAGTATATATAGGCCAAGCTTTTAAAAAGTCATTACTGTTTAGCGTCTTCAGCTCTTTGCGCCGTAAACTGAATGTTTTTGCCACTTCTCCTTAACATCACACCAATTCGACGTATCTCGGCTTAGCGATGCTTTAAGTGCTGAATCATATATTTCACAAAATTCTTCTTGTATATTTTGTGATGACTCTTTAGTAACCTCTGCGGGAGTATTAAAAGGAGTGCCCTCAGTTTTTCTTTTCTTTACTCTTGTATTGACATATTTTGAATAAAGCTTTCCGGAGGAGTTCTTTTTTCCCTTTCGCGGTATAAAGTAATAATCCTAAAATAGATATATGTGCATTTATATCTGTTTTAAGTTTATGCATATATATGTTGCTATCTTACCTGAGTAAGCTCTTCCTTAGGAAATAGTTTACAAATCTCCGTTACAATAGAAGCAAAGTCATGAGGTCTAAGATGTATATTGTTTATGATAGTTTCTTCAACAATTATGTTGATCAGTTCATCCCGATTAGAATTGTGGAAACTTTTTTTTGTAGCATAAACTTCCAGTAACGACCTTCCCTTCGATGTTTCTTTCAATAAAGTCGCCAAGTCCTAAATAACAAAAAAAAAAAAAACACATCAGTAACATAGATTTTATTTTACTTACTTTTTGGAGACAGCCATTCGAACGTGGTACTTCAGCTACAGGGGATGCCACTGAGGATGTGCTACTGCTGTTTTGAACCCATTTTCGGATTTCAGACTTCAGCGAGTCTGTGTCATCATCTATTCTGAACTGAACATATTTAAATAATAAAAATTTGTCTACTTTTTGAAAAGTTTCTTAAGTATATTGAAAAAGAAAAACCTACAATTTCTTTTCTCCATGCAAAGACTTTGCTCCGGAATTTTGCACGGGCTCCTATTGCTGGAATAGCCTCCTTTATATCATCCCTGTCTAAGTACTGCAAGCTATCAAAGGTAACCTTGGCAGCTTCCAATGAATATTAAAACTTGAGTATGTACGATCATACAAATCGAACTTACCTTTTAAATAAGGGAAAACTTCTGACAATCCGGCCTCTTCCAGCCACCCGACCAATTTGTTGGTGTCTTCATCTTCCAATGTTTTTGCAGAATTTGTTTGGTCGCATACGGTTTTCTCCACAAAACCTGCAGCGGTTTCAGTACTTATGCTTTGCACATCCACATTTTGCGAGACGACCATGTTTTCAGACATTTATGTCTCATTATTTGTAGTTTCATTATCAACAATGGTCACAATGTCTCCACTTTCTGTGTACAATACAATCTTAATTTAATGTTGTTCAACTTAAATTTCAACTTAAAAGAACATTTTTCAACTTTAAATCAATGTTGTTGCATTATAATTCTGGAAATAAGTTGAAACAATATTATTTTAAAATTGAACATCATTAATTTAATGTATTTCAATGTAATTTCTCTGTTATATTGAACATTATTGATTTAAGATTGCTCGATCTTATTTTTAAGTTGCAACTTTTCCCTGAGTGTATATATAATTTGTTTGGTCTAAGATCATTATTTCGATGAGTTACAAACGGAATGACATAATGAATATACCCTCCATAGTATGGTGAGGGATGCCTTTTTACTTGTTTTATTTCTATTTTAAATGTGTTTATTGTTTTACAATAGCCACTCACACACAAAATCTGCTCTACCGTCGGAGTAACACACACACTTAATTTAAGCGAACGCACACAAAAGACACAATTATGCCAATGACCTGGTTCGCTGTCATCGTTGACATATTGGATTTTTTTTTTTTTTTTTTTTTGAGAACACCATGCAAATGGTCGAGTTGCTCATCCCACGATCGAATCTTTGACAGTGACATACCCCGCTAGCAATAAAAATTCCATTTAACTCAATTTCGCCAGTCCTGTACTAGATATAAGCCGGACTAGTACCAAATGTGTCCCCAAGTAATGCGAAGGGAACCAATTGACACCTTTTTGTCCCCAAGTAATGCAAAGAAGCGACAGTTGTGCATAAATAAAAACCACCACGAAAAACCCAAACGAACATTTGAATGAGATCGCTACGAACAAGAACCACTTTGAATAGTTTTTTGTTTATATTACCAATAAAAAAACAATGCACAATGCAATGCAAAGGGAATATCGAAATCTTTAAAAATATTATCGGTTCAATATTACTACGAGTATAATATTGACGGAAACCATGGAAAAATGTTTGAAGTCCCTAAGTTATATATAAAGCGTTATTTTAGAAAAGGTGTATATATAATTTTTTTTCATACATTAAACATTATTTTTTGATTCAATACCAGTTACAGAATATTCGGACACCCCTGAAACACAACTGCGAAAAGCAATACAAGTGATTTTATGAATATTGAATTTAATTTATTTTTGTTCAAGTTTTATAGAGTAAGGTATATTTGTATATATTTGTGATTTTATGAATATTGAATTTAATTTATTTTTGTTCAAGTTTTATAGAGTAAGGTATATTTGTATTCATTTTTTTCAAATAAAAAAATGAATCAAAACTAAAAATGAGCATTTAACTAACAATAATTGGTACTGAACTAGTTCGTAGGAAACCATGTCTGTTTATACTAGATAGGGGATAGTCAAATGGCACTAGTACATAACGGTATACATAGAACTAGATAAAAGGTAGTCTGCTGACACTAATATGTGGCTGTGTATTTTAAAATAGGTAAGGGTTAGTCTTTTGTCACTGGTATATGACTGTAAACCTGGAACTAGTAAAGTACAATCTGCAAGTAATGCAAAGGAAGCCAATTGGTTACGTCGTATGACATCCCCATTTTAAAGTTTAAAGTTGTTTGCACTGTGAGGGGTCTTAAAGAGAACTAGTTACTGTAACTCTGAGAATCGACGAGTTTCCGATGCCGAAGTATTTCGTGTTGCTAGCGGGACATGAATCGAAATTTGGGTTGTTGTTGGGTGTCAATGCCGATCAAATACTTATCACATGATCGAAATAACACACTTCGTACAATTCGTCTTCTGCTACCATTTAGTGCGCGTGTTATTTCAACATGAAATTTATAGAGCACCCCGAGAGTAACAGGGCTAAATGAAGAATACTACGTCGTGTAATATGCCTCCCAGCCGAGGAAGTACTTTGAATGGTGTTACATAAGTCAACAGAAGAGCGAAGTCATCCAAAGGGTTTGGTACTGACGGATTCTTTATGGTAATGTTGCAGCAACTGGATGAACCAGGAATTGAGTATTAACCTGTCGTTAGAAAACCTAATAGTACCCGATGTCTGGAAATTGGGGAGGGCGGTCCCGCTACTGAAGCCAGGTAAAGATGCCAACAAAAGGGATTCATATAGGCGGATATCACTATCACGCCGGTAGCAAAGAAGCTTTAGGCATTGAGGAAACAGGGAGTTCCCCAAAGTGGGGTGATATCTTCGGAACTGTCAAATCTTTACATTTTGAAATTCCACGCCACCAACGGAAGGAAATATCATTATGTTCCAGAGAGAGATATAAGACAGAGAGATATAAGACAGATCCTGGCAGGACTGAATGGTGTTCACTCTGACGCGGTCTCAGAAATCATGGAAGGGTATATGGTGAATACCGTACTTGGAGACCATCACCTCCGATCGCAGTTGAAGAGCGATTCGTAGTTCGCAGGAGGTACTGTTTCCTAACACAGAAAATTGGTCATACAAATTCACGTCTACGTCACCCAGCAATATTCTGTCTGATGAGGGCAAGAGCTTTATCTTGTCCTGCTGGGTGCAAAAATAAACGACTGAAATTAACTTTCAAAAAAATAAATTTATTTTTCTTTAACAAAAAATGAATTTCAGAAACTTTATAGTTCCAACTTAAGTGATAGTCAATATCAAGAAATGAAATTCGTCTACGTGACAAATCAATATTTTTGTAAGCGGTATTTTTTTTTCTCTCCGTTGCTTCATGCAACCAATCAGGTCGTGGGTTTTTGTTCAGCTTTAAATGTTGAATGTTTGCTGTTGGATGTTCTATGGTTTGTTAGTATGTTGGTTTGGAGGCAATGAAAATATCCTGCAAGAAATTTTAACTTGGACTTAAAAATCTCGCCCCTTTAAAGCCTTGCTTTCAACATCGTTTTCTATAGAGAGTTTGTAAAGTCTTGTTATGGATCGTTCAAACTCGCAGATGTTCGCACTCTTACCACTTGAACATGCACATCGTCGCCCGGGTTCGTTGAGACTGTCCGACCCATGGGCCATTGTATTGGAGCTGTAGAACTTTCTTCAACAAAAACGGGATCATTACTTGAAGGTTTGGTTGAACGCCAGTCCATTTTGGCTTTTGTTGAATAACTTCAAATATGCCAATACATCTTTTGAATACAGCGTATCATTTGAAATCATTTGAAAGAGGACGAAATTACACCAGCCTTGGTGGGTTCCACTACAGTTGTCATTGGCCGTTGAAGAAGTACGCTGGTACAAGTGGTAGAAAATCGAATGTTAAAATGTGTATTCCAACTGCTCTGTTTATATGGTACTTTGCTTTCTTCACCGCATTTTCAATCCCTTATGGTAAATATTTGTTTATGTAAGTTGGAAATATGAACCGTTTGTTATCATATCTCAACTTTAGTATGTTTAGGGCCTCTTCATGATTCTGTGGTGTCATATTGGGGGCCTGAATTAACGTAAGTGCTGGAATTTCGTTAGCGATGGGAGATCAGAAAAGTCATGAACTGATTGACAGATTGTAAAAACCTGTCCAGTCAGTGTCCGATAAACTTGGACAGTTGGATTGTAGGCAGAGTTTGACGCATTGATTGGTGTCCAGATGATAAAATAGTTCGTTTTCTGCGCATTGATGGGACTGTTCCATTCGACATCTTCTCAAGAATTTTTGACTTTATGTTGAAATAAGCCTTTTCAAAAACAGATCTATGATCCATTTGTAACTGTGACTCGTCCAAGATTTCTACTTGATTTTTGGATATCTTTAAATAAATTGATGTATAATTTTACTTCCAATTGTTATTATCACCATGCAACTGTTTGGGCGAATTGCATTATTTCTGAAGGAATATTGTAAAGGAGTATGTGGATCCGATTCATCAAGAGTTCTTTTCCATTATTGAACCAAATGTTAAACGGGATTTATTATATCCGGCTCGAAGGACTTATGATGAGATGAAGAGTTCTTCTTGTCCTTTTGGGTGCGAAAGTAAATTACTAAAATTAACTTTCAAATAAAAAGAACTGTATTTTTACTTGCAAAAAAATAATTTGTTTTG